GGGATCAGAGTGAGTGTTAAATAGTGAGGGAGTGATATGAAACAGCTGGGTGCAATCAGTGTTGTGTGCAATTAGTGAACCAGCTGTGTGCAATCAGTGCTGTGAATGATGGGATATGTAGTCCGGGATGATATGCAACAGTGTGAGTGCGAGAGTCAATGAAAATGGGAAGGGTGACCTCTGATGGTTAGCCGACAGAAGTTCATGGACCGGATTCGTGACAACTATAGCTGACATTATTCTATAAGCAATTTCATGACATTCAAGGAAAATAGTCTAGTACTTTTTGAAATTCATTTGTCACCCCACATTTTTCAAAATGCTTAATGTAAACATGTTTAGTATGCCATTAAAAAATGAACTAATGGTTTTATGTGTTTGAGTGTGTGTGTGTTCAGGTATACCCTACATTTTGAGGAAGGAATATCCCCACAAAGATGGTGTAATGGATGTGGAAGAACACACTCACACACAAGGTTTCTTCAGCTTTGGTTTATCTTTTTGGGAAAAAAGTAGAATAAATCACATTGGCTGAAGACAATACTGAAGATATACATGAAAAACTGGAAAAACAGAAATTACACCCTCAACTCATAATACAATAAACTGTCAGAAGGCTTAAGACAGACACAATGACCACGTAAAATGAGCTCGTTCCTACTCGTGTGACGCAGGAAGAAATGCAATACATGTATAACATTTTTTGGTCCCTATAAGGAAACAAGCCTATAAATCATAGAGAATGAGTTTTTTTGAGAATGTACAAATGCAGAAAGTTTCCTGTGAGGGGTAGATGTAGGTGTAGGGTTGGTGTAGAGCGAGAGCGAGAGCATATACAGTGTGTCCAGCAAGGGTCAGTGTGTCTCTGCTGTGCTTCAGTGTTTGGAGCTGAACTTCATTCTGCTTCACTCTTTAGTTTTTATTTCTCTTTCAAAAACAAACATACAGAGATGCTTAACGTCAAACAGAACACAAATAAAAATGGCGGATACATATAACAAATATACATCATGGAGGTTAAAACATTAGATTTTACAAATAAAATGTTTTAATATGAGAGACATTTTTATACATTTCTTGTTCCTAGTGATTGAAAACAACGAGTCATAAACTATAGTTTAAGTTCTTTACAGAGAAACTTAAAAGAGGGAGTAATAGACATTATTTTTGCTTTATGTACATGGAACTTCCCAAGAAGAATTATCCCCTTTAAAGTGTTATCAACTACATCTGATCCAGTATTACAGTTCAAAAAAAGGATCATAGATTCATCTATTTTAATTATTTTATAAACATATCAAAAAACAACACAGACACCTGCTTCCAAAAGTCTTCAGAATATTTACAGTTACAAAATAAATGTGTAAGTGTTTCATTTTCTAAATTACAAAAATAACATTTTTTCTAAACTTCTTAATAAATGTGTTGCAGGGATAGTACCTTTGCAATATCTTAAAATATATTTCCTTTGCCTTATTAGGCAGTAAAAATGTATTAGTTGCCGATCATATTTTTGTCAGTGGAAGGTATGAAGAATAATTGTTTCCACTTTATGAGTGCTTTTGGGTAACAGCTGACATCACAAGTAAGTCATTTTCTAATATGTGAGTTATTACACTGAATATCCATGATATTAATACCTCCAATAACCAGATTTGGAATTTGTCGGACAGCTGAATTATAACGGAGATGTATTTTCAGAAGGTAAAGCAATTTAGAGGAAATGCTTTTCACAACCAAATTATAATCTCTACAGGAAGATTCAATCCCTGAGAAAGAAACTAATTGCTGATAAGTATATATCACTGTTAGTATTCAATAAGTCTGAAATCAATATAATTCCCTTATCAATCCATTCTTTTAAAAATATACTCTTGTTTTTAGACAACACAGATTGATTATTGGTTATTATTATAATGCTTAAAGGCTATTTTCCATGCTTCTAGTGATTGCTTATGAAAGTTAGATGATTTTATGGGAAGTTTACTGTATTTGAAGTCACACGATAGTAGAAAGGATAACCCACCACCCAAAGACTGTTTTTGCTTTAAGTAAACATTTAGAAAAATTAGATGCAATTCTCTCAGATGAAAACTTATTAATTATGATACCAAGCTATCTGACTGTTTGTTTTATCTTAATTCCACATACGTCTGATATATCAGAATGATGAATTCTCATAATCTCAGAATAAGTGTATCATCATTAAACAACTCAGAGTAATCTAAAAGATCTAAAATATTATTTGATATGTGTCGACCCTTCATGAAACCAGATTGTGTGAGTGAGATAACTTCTTCTAAGCAGAGTTTTAGTCTCCTTGCATATAAAGCAGCTAATAATTTATAATCAGAATTAAGCAAAGTTATAGGGCGACTATTATCTAAAAATGTTTTATGTTTATTTGATTTAGGTATTAAAGTTATTAGGCCTTGCTTCATCGATTCAGATAATTCGCCACGGTCTAAACACTCTTTGAAAACATCTCAAATAAAATATTTTATATCATTCCAAAATTATCGATAAAATTCAAACGGTAGACCATCGGGGCCCGGACTTTTATTAAGGGGAGTTTTTGTAATTAAACTATCCATCTCTTCCATAATTATCTCACCCTCACAAACAGCATAATTATCTTCACTTATATTTGGAATAAACTCTTCCACCTCAAAGAAAAATTGATTAGATGAATCAGAATGAAAAGAAGAAGTTTGAAGTCGCTGAAAAAGTCAGCTACAAATTTCTAAATTTTGGCTTCATCGGAAATGAGATTACCATTAATGTCAAGGGCTGAAGTTCTTTTTAATTCACCTCTTCTTTTTTCTAAATTAAAAAAATATGTGGAATTCCTTTCTCCAAATTCTTATAAATGCGCCTTTGGCCTTCTCTGCATAAAGAACATCGAGATCTTCCTTCAACAAAAATAACTTCTCCTTGTCCTGCTCACTAGGAGAGGACAGACATAAAATATTATTTATTTCCTTTATGATTGCAGAGCTTCTCGACTCCTTTGCCTTAGAAAACTGTTTGCCAAACTGTTTAGAGAATCTCCGACACTCATACTTAAAAAGTTCCCATTTTGCAATAGCAGAGCCTGAGTTAACTTTACATTTTTCAATTATGTTTTTAATACCTGAACAACATAGAGAGTTTTGTAAAAGAGAAGTATTCAGTTTCAAGTATCCTGGACATCTCTGAAAACTATTATGAGTCTCGGATATTTCAAGATCGATTCAAGCATGATCCGTTAAAGGGGCAGGAGAAATGGTACAAGAACTAATAAAGGAAATTAGCCAGTCAGATATAAGCCAGAGGTCT